TCTGGACCTATCAGAGTCATGCATGTCTGAGTACACACACACACACACCCTATCTCTTTTCTAACTAGCCTTTTTCAACTCAAAAAAAATTTAAATTCACATCTTATTTTTTTTTATAAAATAGCTTTGTCTTCATCTAGCATATTCCATCCTAGTTTGATTTTCAATGAGATGACATTTCTGAAATATTTTTTGCTATTCCTAAGTGTGTCATTTAGAGGTGATGGAGAAAAAAAAATTAAATCATGACACCATAATTTCCCACTTAAAAAACTGACTCTAAAAGGATGTGAATTGGGGTGGGTAGAGAGGGATGGAATCTGGAACAACTTAGGAGGAGAAATAATATGACCAAAATAGATTGTATGAAAAAATATTTTAAATTATCTCAAGCAGTTAGTTTAGTATATAAATGTGGTTATTTGTATACATATGAAGTGCATAGTACTCAATGATCTACTCTCTTCATCCATGAACTTTCTTCATCATCTTCAATCTAACTCTGTGCTTTACATTGTGATGTGCCAGACTTAGCCGTCTTTCTCAAGTTGCTTTTGATGAGCAGAACCAAGTATGGGTATGAACATTTAGCCACAGGCTATGAGTCTAATCTGCTGGGTATATTCACCTCAGATCACTGTTCCCTGGAAAAATAGCATCATAAATAACATTGGTCAACCACAGTGTTTATGGTTTTAAAGCAGACCAGAAAAATCCATGTCAATGCAGCCTTTTTAAATGTTTGAGCTTATAATGTAACTATGCAATTTCCTCCTTTCCTCCCTCTAAACACTCACATATACCCTTCCTTGTTCTCCTTCGAATTTATGGCCTCCTTCATTAACTGTACACACACACACACACACACACACACACACACACACACACACACGCACGCACGCACGCACGCACGCACTCACACACGAATATTTATGTATTCTTAAATATGTAAATATATCCTGCTCAGTCTGTATGATGGTGTGTGTGTTTGGGGGATGACCTTTTGGTATTCTGTAACCAATTAGTGTGTCTCAGCATCCCTTAGCTGTCTGGAGTTCTTCCTGTAGCATGTCTCAGCATCCCTTAGCTGTCTGGAGTTCTTCCTGTAGCATTGAGGCCTCATCAGTTCTCCCCATCTATTGTCCCTGTTCAGCTTATGTTTAGCCAGTCATGTCAGTAAGACTTGATTGTAGCTTCTTGTATTCCTCAGAGACACTAACTCACAGCAACTCCCTTACAGTATTCTGTCTATCCTTCTTCCTCAATGTTCTCTGAGCCTTGGGTAAAGAGTTGTGTTGTGGAGGTATCGGTCTCTACTTGGCTCCAAAATTTTGAATTTTGATTGGTTGTATTTTCTGGAAGATTCACAAGTAGTGTTGTCTCTTTCCACTGCTGGTGGGAATGTTATTGTGCAAAATATTTGGCAAAGGTAACTTAAGAAAAGATGGGATAAATTTTAGTTCATTGTTTGAGGAGAGCCCATCCTGGCAGGAAAGTCACAGCAGTCGTAGTATGAGGCAGCTAGTCATATTCTAGCCACAGTCAGGTTCAGAGAGAATGAATGTTGACACTCAGGTTTTCTTTCTTCTTTTTTGCTTAGTCTAAGACTTCAGCCCAAGTAAGAATATAATAGTGACAGCTATGTCTGCATAGTTACCTGAAGCAGGAAGAAGAAATCAAAACAATGTTCTGAATTAGTGTTGCTTATCAACACATGTATAGCACACATTTTATACTTTTATTCTCGAGGCTGGATTTTCACATATTTCAAAAGCTTTCTGCTCTGTGTACATTTCCTCCTTTTCCTTGTCTTCCTCCATTTTCTTCTTCATCTTCAATATCTTCTTTTCTTCGTATCTAGTGTTTATGAAGCAGTGTTTTCTTGTGAAGCTCTCATTGGCCTAGAACTCCCTATGTAGCCTGGCTTTTACTTGATCCTGTAATCTTACTGCTTCTGCCTCTCAAATTTTGGGATTACAGGAGTGGAAATAGGCACTGTTCAAACTCTTTGTTTTTCTTTAATAAGAAATAGTTCTGGAAATGACATACCTTGGTTCTCAAAGCTAGGTACATAATAACTTTCTCTTTTTTTTTTATACTCTAACAAAATGACTAGCGTTGTCCTTTCTGGCTCATGCCAGTGTGAACATGCCACCACTGTGCTCTCGGTGGCTTCCCTTGCAGTGTTTTATTTAACAAGTTAAAAGTATAATTGACTTGCAAAAGAAAATATCAAGTTACACAAAATTTCATCCTGTTGTGGCTTAGGTAAGGCAACCTGCTCCTCAAATTTTTATGTGTGAGTTGTGATTTTCTTTCTGCCTGAATTCAAAAGGGCAGTTTCTCACTTCTTAAAATCTCTTCTTTATCCATTCAATAAATACTGCCTTCTCACATCCCCAGATTCCTATTAGACGTTGAGCCTCTTTGACTTCACTTTTCCATGGCTAATCCTGGGAACCACTGTTTCTAAGCAAAGAACAGGTGCTATGAACATACAAATGAAAGTCAGTTGTAATATCAGAGAAATTTGAAAAGGGTTCCCTTCACTATGAGGAATTAAATGATGTCAAAACCACATAAAAATGGGGAAGAGTCCTTTAAGAAAAAAAAAAATGCCAACGCTAAAAATCAATGAAACCAAGTTCACTGTTTGCCAGATTTCTTTTAATTGAAAAGTGAGTTATAAATGTCCACTTGACTGTTATCCTTGGGATCAAGATATTACTGGTCCACTTGAATCTCAGATATGAGGCCTCTCAGGGTGTCAGAGGCTTCTCCTCTAAGCAGTCACCAGAAGATTGTTACCTTCACACAAATTGGTATTAGCCTGTGTATATTATTCTTCAGCTTAAGCTCCGCTTGTCTCCAGAAATTCCTGACTTCCTCTGAGCTTTATACCCATCATGTTCTCCCAGTTAAAGACTTAAGTTAAAGACTGAAGTTCAGGAAGAGCTGTTTTCTGGGAAGAGTAGCCAGTGCTGAATAACATCTGTGTTCTTGGAACAAGAAATCTACATCCAATCAATCTATTTTTAAATGATTTGTGGTAAGACACAGATATTGACATGTCTTAATCAGTGTCCAATTGCTGTGAAGAGACGCCATGACTACAGCATCTATTATAAGAAAGCATTTAATGGGGGTGGGTTTGCTTACAGTTTCAGATGGCTGGCATCTATTATAAGAGAACATTTAATGGGGGTGGCTTACAGTTTCAGAGATTCAGTCCATTATCATCATGGCCAGAAGCATGGCAGCATGCAGGCAGATGTGCTGGAGAAATAGCTGAGAGCCCTGCATCTTACACAGGCAACAGTCTGTGTGTTACTCCCACTGAGAGAAGTTTAAGCAAAAGAGACCTCAAGGCCAGCCCTCACAGTGACACACTTCCTTCAACAAGGCCACACCTCCTAATAGTGCCACTCCCTTTGAGCTTATGGGGGCCAATTGCATTCAAACTATACAATATGTATCACATAAAACCAAAGAATAAGCATGCAGACCACTATATATTGGGCATAATTTTTCAAAACTAAGCTTTAATTTGAAGAATAGAGTCATCTTTCCAGAGTTGAAAGACAGAAAAACATTTTAAAGTGTAGGAAACACCACACAAAGTTTATAGGCTTACGTACCACAGCTATGTTAACAATGGAAAAGTAAAATTAAAATCTACTCTGGGTTCAGACATAAGTGACAAGAGATTGCCATGCCTGATCTGAGTTTTCTTTCTCCAGAAGTTTCAGTGAAAATGATTTTCTCTGCTTAAGAGATATAATGACGGGATGTCGATATTTGATTTTTTTGTAATTTGTTGCATACTAGAGATACTGCATATTAATAGTTACCACCACTTTTAACTTCATCTAAGATATTATATGCTGTATTTATATTGTAAATATTAGTGCTCCGTGTTCAAAATGTAGGAAGTATGAAATAGTCCAGTAAAACATAGTTACCCCTACAGCCCATGTCTCTGCTTGTCAAACACAATGTTTTAGAAGAACTATAGGCACCTGTTCAAAGGTTTTGCTACTGAACATGTTCTCATTAAGGGAATTTCAATGCATCAAGTATTTGGCATCAAAATATTAAACTTCTTGACCTACTAAAAAGGATTTTATAAGTTTCTCAATAATTGCTTTCAATGAGCTCATGACATTGATGTCTTACATTGCATCTTGATTATTTTCTTTCCCTGGGATTATCTTGCAACTATGAATGTATTACTAAGAACCTCCCTATTATGAACATCTGTGAATGGATTTGCTTGCTGCAATCAGCAGCAGACATACACATCTAAATGGATTACTGAAGAAGTCGACATGCCTAGCAATCTAACCATATCTTAAAGTTTTCAGTGCCAGAAGTCAGTACCAAGGCCCTAGAAGGCCTCTTCTATGGACTTGTAAGTTATTTAAAGAAAAATATCACCTTTCCTCATAAGACTGTGTTTCTTTGGATTTTCTAATAGGAAACCACTCCTTTACTACACATGTTGTTGCATAGAGTAGAATCTTAGGCTGCTAATTTTTCATATGCTTCTAAGTGCAGTCTCCTAACTGGGCTGTTGAGCATAAGTGAATGTCTGATCAGCTTTCTAAAAGTCCACCCTAAGGTAAGAGTATGAGCTGTAGACATAAAGGAGACAGGAAGAGACTTTACACTGCACCAGAGCAGTGAGTGATTAGAAAACAGTGCTGAGAGCTTTGAAAACAGAAACCAAGCCAAGAGTCTGCAGCCCTGAGAAAAACCACTGGCCTATACAAATTGTGTGTGAACCCAGCCTCTCTAGCAAACTGCAGCCTTCAGGAAGGAGCACAGTCACTCCAACGTGGAGTTTCAGGCCCATCACTTGCGGTTTCTGTCATCCCTCTGTTGCTCTTCAGGAATGAAACATGCAGATGGCACCGCACATTGGCTCCTTCAGTGAAGAGGAAAAGGGTCAAGGGACACAGCACAGCCAGTGCGTTAGAGATCTGACACCAGGTACTTACACCTCCAAATGCTTCCAGATCACAGCCTCGGGAAATAGCTAGCCCATTTCTTTACAGCACTGTTGCTTCCATCCGCTGTGGGTATTAACATAAAAAAATAGAGTAACCCGTTAGAGCTGGACAGCCCTGCTGAGCATCAGATTGCGTGAACACAGAAAGGCAGGCGGACATTGTACCAAAGCTGAGTGATAAATAGCTCATCTATACCTTCTCGTCTGCAAAAAGGGTGGCAGTGTAAGCCTTGGTGCCCCGCCGCTGCTCTCTTCTTGTGTAACAGCTAAACCGGCTCAGTCCTTCTGACAGGGTGAGAAGCGCGCCTGCAGACAGTGTCTGGGCGGTCCTAGTGCCTGCTCAGGTTAGTAGGCTAGCAGACTCCACAGGGCCTCCCTGCTGTGTCTTCCAGGGGCTGCCTCCAAGAGGTTTTAAGAAAGTCAGTCTGGCTAAGTAGCAGCAAGGTGGGCATTATGAATGGAGGGAAGCTAAGTAAATAATAGTTTGCTAATGTCATGCAGACTATGCTGCAGAGAATAAAAGGGTTAGGGATAAAGAAAGTGTGCTGTCATTATTCAAGGCAGAGGGCCATAGGGCAGGAAACCAGTTTGCACAGACACTGTGATTATCGAAATGCATTTATTTTGTGAGGTTATTTGTTTGTATGTTTTGTTTTTAAGTCCACATTTAAATTGTGAAGGGAATAATGCAGGATTGTTATTATTATTTATTTATTTATTTATTCTCTGTTTACAAACACTCTGAGGTTCTAATCATTTAAGCCTAGCCTACCCTGTTAAAAATACAAAAGAAAACAAATGGCAAACAAATAGAGACTCGTGGGAGCTTTATTCTTTATAGGAAGCAAAAAATAAAATAAAATAAAAATGCAAGCCCCCACTTCAGACAAGTGCTGCCAGGTCTTCCTCTACTCATTTTCCCTACCTATCGCCACACTGCTTTTCCACCCATGGTGTTCACACTGTCTTTGACTTTGCTATCATTTGACAGTACTCTACCATTTGCAGAGGAATCTACTGTGTTTACTTTGCACAGTAACTCAGCACGTGCTGGGCTCTCAGTAAATATCTGAGAAAAGAATGAAGCAGACAAAAAAGTGACACCTCACTGTGCATACTATAGCTACTGAAGCCATTTTGTGAGCTGATGACATTCAGTTTACCGTATCTAAGTAAATATTTCCATGCAGGTACCATTCTGGGGACACATTTGCCTCTAGAAAGCTCATAATTTATTTTTATGTAATTTAATTTTTAAAAGATGTGTTTTTATTTATGTATAGGTATATGTGTATGTGTGTGTTTTGTGAATGTATGTAACATGGGTGAAGGTGCCTGCAGAGGCCAGAAGAGGGTGTCAAGACCCTTGCAACTGGAATTCTGATAGCTGAAAAACAGCCTAGTATGAACACTAGGAACTGTATGAGTCCTCTGCAACAGCAGCAAGTCCTCATAACTGCTGATCCAACTCTTTAGCCACATCATAATTGAGATTGGAAGGTTAATCTTTGCATTTAATTATAAAAATCATGTCTGTGTAACATATTTGCCTTAACATAATGGGTATCATAAGTAAGATATTTTAATGCTGAAAGACTAGGTTTCTTTGTAGCCTGTGTTTCCAGTTAAGAGCTTGAGTGCAGGGAGCAAGTTAGTACAGATGGGAGTAGAATCCAAAAAGTCAGCTTCATTGATATTTTTCTAACAAAAGTCCATGAAAATAGCAAAATTGGCAAAGGGAAGTGCGAAGGTATATGTGGGTTGCAGGCCTTGGACCACAGCCTAGCACTAGCAAGTAGTCAGCAGGAGGGTGTCCATACCTAACATAGCTGGCTGCCTCTGCCAAAAGAAGAGACATCTCCCAACTCATGTCTAGGTTGTAGTGATGGTGTTAGATAACTAGGAACAAAACACACTAGACAGTACATATGCCACAGAAGCCAAGACTCCAGGGGGTTCAGCTAGAGAAATTCAAGACAAAATTCTCACTATGAAGAACTCAAGAGTTTTCTGCTATGAAGATTAGAGATCTACCTACCCTAAGGATCAAAGGGGAAGAATACATTAATAACCTAAGGGCCCCCCAAAAATGTCAACGGCTGGATTGATCTCAAGTCTCATGTAGGTTTGAAAGAGCTTTTGCTGCTTGGGGAAAGGAATGTAAGCACAGGATTCTGTAAGTCATTGCAGAGTTAGGTTAGCCCCAAACATGATTCTCGCTCAGTGAATAATTACTTAGTTGAGCCCCATAGACTAGGACTGGCTCCTCTAATATGCTTCTTTGTGCATAATCCTAATTTAGCATGTTTTTGAAAAAAAAAATACTAACTGCCGAAAAGGATGGTAATGTCTTCTTAAAAGATGCTTGTAAGTAGAAATCATGCATGACTTGGTTAGAGCTAGGGAAGTAGCTATATAGCAAGTGAAGGGCTAATGTTGGCCAACCATCTGTAGCTACTTATTTTTATGAATATTTGAGAGCCTTGGTAGGAATGATGTACTATAGAAAGGCTGAGTCCTAGAGACAACCGGCATGTATCTGTGCAATAAGGACTGGTGAGGGGAACAACAGCAGAGTGCCAAAAGAATCCTCTGTTGGAGGACCCTCGTGTAGAGTGCAAATTGTCATTTTAGAAAAGATCTTTAAACTTAAAAAAAAAAAAAGTACAGTATTTTAAAATAACTTTTAAAAAAAAACCCCAAGAAACAAAAATAAGAAAAAGCACAAGGTAGGAATGTCAGAGAGATTTCTCCCTTTCCCTTTGTCACTTTTGGAAAAGCAAGTAGTCAACAGTCCATAGCCCAGAAGAGACCCTCACTAGAACCAGAAGCAATCCCTGTTTACACCTTGATCTTAGATTACATCTTCCAAAACTTTTGAGAAAGTTTTCTACTGATTTCAAGCCACTGCTCTATGGGACTTCGTTAAAGCAGTCTGAACAGACTAACTATGGGTTCTTTAATACTTTGAGGCTCAGAACACTTAAAATATGCACATTCTGTTCTCCTCCTCCATAGTGTGCTAGGCTCTCACAGCTATAAATTTCACCGACTGTAGGAATACCTCTTGCCTGACCAGGTCCTGGACTGTAGCAACATTCATGTAGCGCTGCTCTTGTCAGCAAAGATGGAGTGACATGTTGGTATCACACCTCTTGGGATCAACCAGCCAATGTCAGTAGTGGCTATGAAAATAGAGTGTTGTGGAACCAATGTTGTCTTTTAAGTGCACTGCAAGGTCAAGGGCATGGCAAGGAACTCAAATTTCTGTATGAGCAGGTGATGGCTCAATCCCATGGCTGTTAATTACAAGAGGCCATATTTGCTCACATATGTTAATGAACTGGGGCTAATCAACTGCCTTTAATAAATGAGAGTAGAGTGAACTCATCACTGGCTTACAGACCCACATTTAGATGGGAGGAGCTTTTTGTATCCCAGTAGCCTGGAGTTAATACTTCTAGGCTTTATGTGACAATCCACAGTGAATTAGGTTTTAGTGCATAGTACAGAGCATTGCTAATAAAAACGAAAGTCTACTATGAAAATTTAAGCACTTTTACTTTCATAAAAATGAACCTACTAAATTTGATGGCATTAAAGTTAAACACTGTTGCCCTGCAAATTGTACAGACAGCAGAAACTTTCAAAGGTCTTGGACTCTGAATATCTTGTACCTTGAATCTCAATTTCCTCATAAGTATGACCCAGCAGTGAAACCACCACCAAGAGTTGGTTAAGGGCTAGACAGGCTTATGCACAGCATGGGCATTATTTTCATTAGTGAATCAAGGAATGGTTGCATAAATTGTGATTTTTTTTAAATAATATGCAGTTGAAGCTCTACCTTATGAAGGCATGTAAAACATAAATTATATGCTTTGTATATTCTTATACTAAGGACAATTTGCATATTTACAAATAAGTATGTTGGCTTTTTATGGTCCAAGGAGCATGACAACACAGTTAGAATAATAAAGTCAACCATGGTAACTTAGCTAAGAATAAGGCATAAATTAATTTAAATTGTATTGAAAAGTATTTCCTACCAGCCCAACAAGTCTTTGTAGAGACTTGAATTCCACAATATAGTCATAAACTTGAGCAATTAGTAACTGATGTTGCAGTGTGGTGTCATTTGTATCAAAAATCAAAACATGTTTCTTTAGCTAGAGATTTCTCTTTTAAAGATCATTGTCATTGCCGTACTCTGCACTGAGCTCTAGTTCCTAAACCCCTAACTTACTTTCTCATCCCCTTTACAGAACATACTTCCTAATGTGCAGCCATACTGAATGTCAGCATGTAATCTCCAGCTCACCTTTATTCTCCTCATATACTAGCAGACTTGTATACAAACCAGGTTTTAGTATTGGATTCCCCCAAGTTTTTTTAGTCAGATGGATTGTCTCTGAGATTATAGAATTCAATCAGAGGTATTGATATAGATAAAATGCCACTGCCAAAGATATTTAGTATTTCTAAAACAAATAAATGTAATGTCCTTTAATAAATAGATTGAGTATGGTGAGATATTATTAAAAACTCAGGTGTAAGCAAAAATATTTTAGACAGTTTAGTTCAAATTTGGTAGAAAATATAAGATAATCCCTCAAGGGTTAATGTCCTTTCTCCATTTCAAAGAACTAAAATTAGAGTCATAGACACTTGCTGATAGCCATGATCACTAAAAGGAAGGACTTAGCATTACTGAAAAATGTCAAATAAGTAATAAGTTGCAGGAGAATTTTTGGTAATATTTTAGTGCTGGAACAATAAAAATTATTTCTGTAATAGCCATTAATATTTTTATTTAGTTACCAGGCTTATATCCTGACCATAATCTACTTTCCTATTTTAATGTTTTGTTATGACACAGTTTGAATACTTTCTTGTGTGAACTAAATTAGATATTTATAACATCATTTTTATTTATTTGTGGCACTGGTACTGCATCCTGAAACCTCCTGAATAATAAGCTAAGTAAATCATTTTTTTCTTTATAACTTACTCAGATTTGGCTGTTTTGTTATAGGAACACAAACTGGACTAATACAGTCTTAGTTAAGTTCTACTTAAGACCTTTGCCCTCTCAGGTGTATTTTGATTATGATATCACGTCACATACAGAAAATGGAGGGCAATACCACATGTAGATATGCAAAACTACTTTTATTACTACATTATTACTTAG